GAACAATCAGAATCATCCATGGATTCATCAACCAAGAAGTTCAAACTCAAGAAATGGAACATCGCCTCTGAGGATCAGGTTAGGTGAAGATAAACATGTACCTGATGGTGGAAGAAAAGGGTATAGAACTATCTGTTGAACCCCTCATTATTAACTACTTTGGCCCTGGAAGAGGTGGTGTGACTGATGAAGAGCCATATGGCAAGGACTGGCAAGTGTGTGGGCTCCTGAAAGCAGCTGCTCACGTGTTACTTTGGATAAATTAAAATAAAGTGATTTTCAAGAAGGAGGAGAAAGAGAAGAGGAGGAGGAGGAAGAAGAAAAGACAGATTACAGCTAAATACAGTGGTACATGCCTGTAATCCCAGCTACTCAGGAGGCAGAGGTAGGAGAATCACCTCCAAGGCTGGCCCAGGTAAACACAAAAGGCCCTATCTGAAAAACCAACCAGAAAGCAAAAGGACTTGGGGTGGGGGCAGGCATGGCTTAGGTGGGGCTCTGAGTTCAATACCTATGCATCCTTTTTTAGACTATGTACCCTGTGTGGGTTGTGTAGCCCAGGCTGGCCTCACACTTGAGATCCTCCTGCATCAACCTCCCAGTGCTGAGTTACAGGCGTGCGCACACATGCACACACCAACCAGCCAGATGATACTTTTTTTACTTTTGCTGGTACTCGGGTTTGAACTTGGGGCTTCACACTTGCTAGGCAGGCACTCTACCACTGAGCCATGTCCCCAGACTCAAGTGATACTTTCCTAACTTCATTATTCCTTTGACATTATTAGTTAACATTTGCATACAACCAACCCCAGGAGAGAGAATCTAGTACCTTTGTCAGATTCTCTGTGACCCTAATGATTCAAATAATTGGAAAGGCTGGGAAGGTAGCTCAGTGGTAGAGTGCTTGCCTTGCATGCATGAGGCCCTGGGTCTGATTCCTCAGCACCGCATAAGCAGAAAAAGCTGGAAGTGGCGCTGTGGCTCAAGTGGTAGGGTGCTAGCCTTGAACTGAAGAGCTCAGGTACAGCGCCCAGGCCCAAAGTTCAAGCTCCAAGAACAACCACCAAAAAAAAAAAAAAAAAAAGAGCTGGGAAGGTGGCTCAGTGGTAGAGCACTTGCATTGCATGCATGAGGCCCTGGGTTCGATTCCTCAGCACCACATAAGCAAAAAGAAAAAAGCCAGAAGTGGCATTGTGGCTCAAGTGGTAGAGCGCTAGCCGTGAGCTGAAGAGCTGAGGAACAGTGCCCAGGCCCATAGTTCAGGCCCCACGACTGGACCCCAAAAGAAAAGAAAAGGGAAAGAAAGAAAGGAAGGAAGGAAGGAAGAAAGAAAGAGAAAAAAGGAACATCCACCATTTTTTATTTTTATTTTTTATTTATTTTGTGTCGGTCGTGGAGCCTGAACTCTGGGCCTGGGCGCTGTCCCTCAGCTCTTCAGCTGTAGACTAGCGCTCTACCACTTGAGCTGCAGCCCCACTTCTGGCTTTTTTTTCTTTTTGCTTATGTGGTGCTGAGGAATCGAACCCAGGGCCTCATGTATGCAATGCAAGTGCTCTACCACTGAGCCACCTTCCCAGCCCCAGGAACATCTTTTTTAAAGCAGAACTAAAGAGATACTCTTCATTGAGTTGTACATCTGATTTTTTAAAACTTGTCTCAAGTATTCACAAAGCAGATAGATTTTTCATTCAACTACCAATTGCAGAAACACAAAATAAGTTTCCATACAATCCCAACAAAAGTAACCTTTCTTTCTATCATCAAGAAAATAAACTATGTTTTACAAGTTAAAACTATTAAGTTTACTATGATGCAAAACACCAAAAACACTTGACACAAAACCTATTATTAATAAAAAGTATGCCTTTTCATTTTCTATTTTTGGCCCAAATTTTAATTCTTTCCAGTAGAACCAAAACCTCCTGAACCCCTTTCAGTATCATCCAAGACTTGAACTTCTTCAATTTCTGGGTAAACATAAAAAAAGGCACTCGATGCATTCTCTTTTGGGGGGTTGGGTGGGGGGGCAGGAGAGACAGGGTCTCATTATGCAACCCAGATTGGCCAGGGTGAACTGCCTGCCTCAGCCTGAGCTGGAATTACAACTGTGTGCCACCATGTCAGCCATTCAATTAATTCTTTACTATGACCTCTCAGGGTGTGCAGGGCTAAGACAAGGGGATAGGGCATTTTGAACACTTGTTAAGACGATGTCACCTGTCATCCTGTACGGGATGTCTGAACGCCCCGCTCACACCCTCTATCCCAAAGCATGACCTGTTCTGCCTGGACTTGTGTAGGAGGTGGGCAAGGAAGGCCGCTGGGGCACAGCCATGTAGCTTTAACCCAATGCCAGGTCTCTGTGTCCAGGGGTCTAGCATTCGCATCTGCCACTAGAGGGAGCCCCAGATCTATTTAAAAGCACCCATAAATGAGCAGGGCCCTTCCCAGGCATACCAAGAACAAAATACAAAACCAAGGCCCCAGATAGAAGCTCACACCTGTAATCAATCCTAGCTACTTGGGAGACTGAGATCTGAGGGTCGCAATTCAAAGCCAGCCCAGGCAGGAAAGTCCTTCAGACTCTTATCTCCAATAAAGCCACCAGAAAACCGGAAGTGGTATTATGGCTCAAAGTGGTACAGCTCTAGACTTGAGCTGAAGAGCTCAGGGACAGTGCCCAGGCTAAAAGTCCAAGCCCCACAACTGACCAAGGGAAAAAACAAACAAAACAACAACCAAGGCCCATACCACAACTGAGGAAGCATCACCATATATAAATAACTACTCTGTTCGCCTTACCTCTCACTGCTCAAGTCCTCCACTATCCTAGGCTCAGGCCAACCTAGCCTGGCTGCTTCTGCTTGCTTCCCTAAATCCACTAAGCACAATCCCTTCCCCAGGCCTTTACACCTGCTGTTTCCTTTGCTTGATGCTTTTCTCCTAGACCTTCCATGGTCCAAATGATGCTTCCTCCAAAGGCCTTCCCTGAATAGTCAAGGACAGACAGCAGCCCAGGGAGTTGACAATACTCTTCAATCTCAACCCTCTGACGTGACAGTAGAGACTTGATTGCTTGCTGCCTGGCTCCCCACGAGAACGGAAGTTCTGTGAAAGCAGGATACAAAAACATCTTGTAGCCACTGGTAAGTGAATGAATTCAGGAGTCTACCTGCAAGGACTATGGAAGATCAAACATGTACATAAATTAGAAAGGCCCCTGGTGTACCACAGTACACACATAATATGAACCACAAGTTGGGGCACCAGTCTGTTTCTTTGGATGATGACTTCATTCTTTTCTCTTGTCAGTCATGGGGCTTGAACTCTGGGCTTAGGTCCTGTCCCTCAGCTCTTCAGTTCAAGGTGAGCACTCTACCACTTGAGCCACAGCACCACTTCAAGTTTTCTGGTGGTTCATTGGAGAGAAAAGTCTCATGGACTTTCCTGCTGGCTTTAACCATGATCCTCAGATCTCAGCCTCCTGAGTGGGATTACAGGTGTGAGCCACCGGCACCTGGCTTGTTTTTGTTTTATGATATGAAGTTTGACTATGTAGGCCAGGCCAGTCTCAAACTCATAACCCCTTTGCCCCAGTCTCAAGAGAGCTAGGAGTGCAGGTGTGTGTCACCTTGCCCAATATTTAGATGGATTTCTGAACTAGAGCTCTGTCCTATCACCAGCTCTGCCTTGTCAAGGCTGGGGCCCCCAGGGAGTCACTTCACCTCTAACTCCCTTATTTTCCTTGCCAGTTAAACAGGGCAGACTCACCCTAGGATAACACCTACAAAGCTCACATGCAATCAACTGCCTACCATCTGATTCCATTTCAGTTCTTACTGCAGGTTTTTGTTTTTTGTCGGTCGTGGGGCCTGAACTCTGGGCCTGCGCGCTGACCCTCAGCTCTTCAGCTCAAGGCTAGCGCTCCGCCCCTTGAGCCACAGCGCCACTTCCGGCCTTTTCTGCTGATGTGGTGCTGAGGAATCGAACCCAGGGCCCCACGCATGGAAGGCAAGCGCTCTACCACTGAGCCACCTTCCCAGCCCTTGTTGTTTGTTAACTAAAGATGGGCCTTCTTTCCGGGCCACCGCGTCCTTCTCCACAGAGGAAGGACGCAGCTGGTCAGAGGCGATGAGCACACGCCCTCCCAAGCCTCCGGCCTTGGCGACCTTCCCTCGCCATCCATCCCGGGGATCCCGGGGCCCGTCTACCCCCGAGGGGACCCCAGGCCTGGCCGAGGTCCGAGGTGACACACCGCAGGAGGGCCGGGTGGCCCAGGCCCTTCTCAAGGACCGAGGTCACAGCACAAAATGGCGCCTCCCAGAAAAACACAGACGGACCTCCGGCAGCCACCCGCGCCTCGGGGCGGGGCTCCGGGAGCGACAGTTCACGCCACCGACACGCACGCCCGCAGGTTAACGGCAGCCGCGCCGAGCGAGGTCCCCATTGGCCAGTCTGCATCCCTGCCCGCCTCTCGGGTCGCTTTCCCCGGCAAAGACTGGTCTATGAGAAACGGCGGGGCTCTGTCCCTATTGGGCCACGACCCTTCCATCAGGTGTTTAAACCCCCCCCCCCGGCCCCGCCTACCCCACCCCGCCCCGTCCGGTCCCCGGCGACCGTTAGTCGAGTGCGCTGCCTCGGCGTCAGGGAGCGTGCGGGCCGGGCCGTGGCGGCGTTTCATTCAAACGGCCCAATCAGCGGCGTCCCCAGCCGGTTCCCTCCGTCCCCATCCCCGGCCCCCTGCTCCCACGCTCCCCAGTCCCCCGTCCGGCCCCCTCTCCGGACGTCGCGCGCCCTCCCTGGCCAGCCCGCCCCGCAGCCCCCACCTGGGCCTCTCGCTCCCACCCGCACCCCAGGCGCAGGGGTTACAACGCTGAAACGCCAAGGCGCATGCGCGCTGACGTCTCGCGGAACTGGGCGCCCCGGGGGGGGGGGCGGGGCTTGAGGTGTTTATAAAAAGTCGGCGCTGTGCGCGCGTCCGGTTAAGAGCGGCCGGGCACGGGGTGGGCGGAGTCGTGTCGCGGTGCGGTACGCGGCGGGCGGGCGGGCGTCGGAGGCTGAGGGAACCCGAGCGGGTCCGTGTGGGCCGCAGCGGCCGCGGTTGGGCTCCTCCCCGTCCCTGCCCTAAGCGGCCGCCCGGAGAGCTCAGAAAGGGGGCCGGGGGGAGCCGCCCCCGGCCGGCCGCAGTCATGGTGAGCGCGGGGGGCCGGACGCGGAGGGGCGGCCGGGGGTCCCTGGAAGAGGCGGCGCCGTCCCCGGAGGGGCTGGCGGGGCCGGCCGCGGTCGGAGGCCTGGCGGGGCCCAGGGCCTCCCCGCGGGGGACCGGGCCTGGGAGGCCCGCGGCGTTCGGCCCGCCCGTGGGCGTTACCGGGCGCTATACGCCCCGTCGCCATTTGTCGCCCTGAGCCGAGGTTTTGAGGATGGTTTCTGCCCGGGTAGGCGGGAAACGGGGACGGGCTAGGCCTCGGGCCTACCAAGAAGCATTGGGGGCCCACGAAGGGCCGCGGGCTGTGTGGGAGGACTGGGGAGCTGATTGGGCCTCCTCCGGAAGCCCCCTCGGAGGCCCGCCCGGAGGCCCCCGGCCGCGGGGGCCCGGAGTGCTTGACAGCCAGGACCAGGCCCGGGGCGGAGCCGCGGCCGCCAGCCCGCCGCTCACTTCCCTCCTACCCGTGCCCAGAACTCCAATGTCGAGAACCTGCCTCCCCACATCATCCGCCTGGTGTACAAGGAGGTGACCACCCTGACCGCAGATCCGCCGGATGGCATCAAGGTCTTTCCCAACGAGGAGGACCTCACTGACCTGCAGGTCACCATCGAGGGCCCTGGTGAGTGTGGCGTGAAAGGGGCGGGCCTTCGCCATGGTGCTGTGGGACCAACAAGAGGCCTTAGAGGCCCCCCCTCGCAGCCCTGGCCCCATCTCGGGAGCCCAGGCACTGCGCTCTCTCACTTCGTATTGTGCATGGCTGTGCACTTAAAATGTATTCACGTGGCCTTTCCCCATAACTTTTGAGATGTTTCTGGTCACTGAGACTGCTACCGGGAATCTTCCCTGAGCTGGAGTGAGGCTGCCAGGTGTGGCTTCTGGACCTGGAGATGTGGAGTAATTAAGTAGGAGTGGGAGGAGAGCCCAGGCCGTTGGAAATCGCCTCAGCGAAGTCCTGGAGGGTGGGACCATCGGGAGATCTGAGAATCCTTTCTGTGTGTCCCCTCAGGGGCTCTGGGACATTGCAGGGCACTAGGCAGCATTGTAGGGGAGCCACTGAGGATTATACGTGATTGTATTTTGTAGCACAACCAAGAATGTGGCTTAATACAAACTACTTGCCACCTGACTTTCTAGTCAGCTAAGGAGCTGACTAGTGGGTGGAGGAAGGTGTGGTGTGGGGTGTTTAAGTGACAGGTACAGGGATTCACCTCTTGCTGCACTGATGTTTGAGGCACTTAAGACCCAGAAGATGGGAAGGCAAAGCTCCCCAGAAAGCCCAAGATAGGCAGATGGGCCTGGGTGCTTTGCAAGAATAGAAGTAGCTACTAGAGTGATGAGGGAGATCTTCTAAGCTTCTAGGCCTCTAAGGAACTTGGAAAGAAGTTGATGTGGAGACAAAACTAGGGACTTGGCAGTTGGTTCTCTGCAGTTTCAGTTGACCTGGTGGAGCAGCTGCAGACTAGTGGAGAAGCCATACTTAGACGTGGGGTCAGATTAAAAGAGGGCCTGGAGGGCAGCTGACCAGGCTGCTGATGGGCCAGGTTTGGGAACTGTGATGAGTGTGACTGCCAGGTTCCCACATCTTATTGTCCAAGCAAATTGGAAAATTAGAGCTGTTTACTGGTGGATAAAGTGCTGAAGGACTTAGGTCAGCAGGACCGTGTAACCATTTGTCCAAGAGATAAAGGGGCACTTAGACTCCTACTTCCTGGAAATGACGTGTGCCTGGGCAGTGTCTGAGTAGAAAATGGCATCTCATGGTAAAGGACAGGTGGGGCTGTAGGTCAGTGCCTATCTCTGAGGTGTGAGGAAGTGGTGTGGCCTTTGGCCCTCAAGAATCCCCCAGCACAGTACAGACACCTATTTTGTAGCCAGACTGTTGAGGGCTTCGAGCCCTATGGGATTCTGGATTCTTCCTTAGTCTTTCCTCTACTACAGAGGGGACCCCATACGCTGGAGGTCTGTTCCGCATGAAGCTCCTACTGGGGAAGGATTTTCCTGCCTCCCCACCTAAGGGCTACTTCCTGACTAAGATCTTCCACCCAAATGTGGGTGCCAATGGTGAAATCTGTGTCAATGTGCTCAAGAGGGACTGGACTGCTGAGCTGGGCATCCGACACGTGCTGCTGGTGAGTTCTACCCCGAGCTTCCCTTCTCTTCCTCTGAGGGTCCCAGAAATGAATAAGCCAGAGTTTTGTTCTCTTAAAACCCAATCTACAAGTGGTAGAGTGCTTCTTAATCTGGTAAATCTGAGTTTCGCTCTCAATACTTTAATGGGTGGGTATTCACACGGGTTCCCAACTTTCCTGGAAAATGCCAGAAGAGTTAGTGCCAGGGACTGACTACTGCTGTGCAGGGTCAAGACACAACTTTGCCATTTGCCAGCAGGTTTGAACAGTAGGACAGTCTGGCAGGCAGGTGGACAGACAGCACTGTCTAGTTATAGGCTTTTTGTTTGTTGGTCGTGGAGCTTGAACTTGGTGCCTATACAGTCCCTGAGCTTTTTGCATTTTACCACTTTGAGCCGCAGTGCACTTTTCTGGTTTTCTGGTAGTTAATGGAGGCAGAATCTCAGGAACTTTTGTTGTCCAGCAATCCTTAGATCTGTCTCGAGTGGCCAGACTTACAGGTGTAAGCCACTGATGCCTGGCTAGACAGTTTTTCTTTTTATAAGCTGTGATAATTTGCATGCCATTAATTTCATTGCTGTGAAGTACAGAATTTACTTCTTATTCTTGGCAGTAACAAGGTTGATGTCTTGATTCTTCTCCCCTAACTAGTGTTTCTCAAGGGTGGTTTTGCTCCCCAGGGACATTTTGCATTGTCAGGAGACATTTTGGGTTGTCAATGCAGGCATCTAGTGGGTGTGGCCAGTGGCTCTGCCCAGTGTCATATACTGTGCACATGATGCCCCCACAGGGCCCAGCATTCCTGAGGCAGAGAGTATGGTCTAGGCCAGCACTCCACAGTTTCTAAAGGCCACTTACAGCACATAGGCTACCTGCTGCCTTCCCACTCCTCCCACAAGCTTAAAATTTTTGTAACTCAATTTCTAATGAGCCCCTAGGGCAGATGGTAGGGAAGACAGGGAGTTGAGGTTTCCTTCAGGGCACTGAGAAAGGATGAGCTCTACAGTAAGCAGGCCCCAAATCATACATACCTCCTTCCTGTTCCATTTTTTGGAGGGTCGGGGGAGGCTGCACTTGTCAGCTGTCTTCCTGCTCCCACTGGTGCTGGGACTGTCAGAGCTCTGCTCAGCCAGGGAATTAGCTGGGTTAGGGGCAGTCAGTCTAGAGGCCACAAGGCTGGCCCACTGCAGAGCTCTGCGTTCCCCTGACTTTCCCACAGACCATCAAGTGCCTGCTGATCCACCCTAACCCCGAGTCTGCACTCAATGAGGAGGCTGGCCGCCTGCTTTTGGAAAACTACGAGGAGTATGCTGCCCGGGCCCGTTTGCTCACAGAAATCCATGGTGGTGCAGGTGGGCACAGCAGTGGGAGGCCTGATGCTAACCGGGCCCTGGCCAGTGCCTCTGCAGCCTCTTCCACTGACACCATGGTCCCTGGGGCCCTTGGAGGGGCTGAGGGGCCCATGGCTAAGAAGCATGCAGGCGAGAGAGACAAGAAGCTGGCCGCCAAGAAAAAGACGGACAAGAAGCGGGCACTAAGGAGGCTGTAGTGGGCTCTTCCCACCCCTGATCCAACTCTTCCCCATCTGTTCCTTCTCTCCCACTCTGTCTCTAAGTTATTTAAATTATGGCTGGGCTGGGGGAGGGTTGGGAGGGCACTGGGACCTGGATTTGTTTTTCTAAATAAAGTTGGAAAAGCAATTTCTATGCCCACTTTATGGCTCAGAGTGGCTGGCCTCCCTGCTCTGCTCCTAGACCACATGTCCTGTGTGGAGTCACAGCCTTCTAGAACCTGCTCCTGTCCCCTTCTCCCCTCCCCTTTCTATGCTCACCACCTTGAAGCAGCTGTGCCTAGTCCTGGACTGGCATCTTATCCGGACTGGACTTCAGTGGCAGACAGTGGACAGGGAGTTACTGGACAGTGTGGGTGCTCCCAAAGGCCAAGCCATACTACTTTGACCGTTTTGTTGGGGGAAGGCACAACCCATACCATGTGTTTGTCACAAATTCCACGGCTTTTCAACACCCATCAGTGTTACTCCATGTTAGATTCAAACAAACTGAAGTGTCTGATGTCCATGTCCCTGCGGCCGTTTCCTAATTCTTTTTTTGGGGGGGAGGGGAGGGGGGACCCGGTCGTGGGTCCTGAACTCTGGGCCTGGGCGTTGTCCCTCAGCTCAAGGCTAGCACTCCACCACTTGAGCTACAGCGCCACTTCCAGCTTTTTTCTTGTTGCTTATGTGTGCTGCGGAATTGAACCCAGGCCTCAGGTATGCAAGGCAAGCGCTCTACCACTGAGCCACCTTCCCAGCCCCTCATCTTATTTCTTATAAGCTGCCCCTCTGCATGTCCTGTCAGGACACACTGGGGTAGGGTCATGACCTCTTTTAGTACTTCCTGCAAACCCAGGGCTTCTGACCTAAGTCAGCAATGGCAAGAGAAGCAGGCAAACCAATGGGTGTTCCAGTTGTGTGCAGTAGGGGGAGCACACTTTGCAGAAGTGAGATGAAGGCAGGCAGGTGCTCCACACCTAGCTCTCCCAAAGTCTTAGTGAACTGCACCCCCACACAGATGCCAGTGCAACACTGAGATGCTGTAGCATGAAGACTGCACATCTGATTGGTATGCCTGAGCAAGTACATTGGGGAGTAATTTAACGATACTGAAATGGCCTGGAATGTGTGATACGCAATTTCACAATTAGACCAAAAGAAAAGCCTGTTTTCACTGGCTTGGGAATGCGACTAAGGGGCAGTGTGCCTATACTTGCCAGCTCACCTGCTTAAAACCAGGCCAGTGACAAGTGGGGTGAAACCCAAAGTTGAGAGAATGGGGCTCTAATCCATGTTTGAGCCAGACTCAAGTAAGTGGAACCCTGGGATGCACCAACCTCTTAGGTGGCCAGTGGAATCAGCCTCATCCCAAGCAGCAGACTAGTCAGCACTCTTCTAGACCAAAGCCTCTGAAGACACTTGCCCCCACCCCAAGCCAGACAAAATGGTCCACATCAGGTCAGCAAGCCTTTTCTGGAAAAATTATGTCGCGTCTGCACCCCTCCCCCGTTTTTTTTTTGCCCGTCGACCTGAACTAGGCCTGGGCGCTGTCCTTCAGCTCAAGGCAAGCTCTCTACCGCTTGAGCCACAGCGCTACATCTGGTTTTCTCTGTTTATGTGGTGCTGAGGAATCAAACCCAGGGCCTCATGCATGCAAGGCAAGCATTCTACCACTGAGCCACCTTCCCAGCCCTGCACCCCCTTCTTGTATGTGTAGTTCTGAAGTCCCCTTCAGTGAACAAATGGCCCACTGAAATTGAGCAACACAGGGCCAGAGCTGAAGGCGCACAAAAAGGAGGCCCAGTGATGGTGGTAGAGAAAGGTGACAATTCTTTATTGCTTTTTCTTTTTTTGGGGGGTGGGGGGGAGGCTCAGGAGCTCTTGGTGGGGCGGGTCCGCTTCCTCTTCACCACCACAGGCTTCTGGCTGCGCAGGATGGCGCTAGCTCTGCGGATGGCAGCCTGAGGGGAGGGAAGGGACAGGTGAAGGTGTTCAAAATCTGTACAGCTACTTCCCAGGCCTGGGTGAGGTCCAGAGGCAGGGCCTCCTGGGCCCAGGTCCACCACTGAGAAGAGTACTCCTCAATACTGACTAGCCCCACCTAGGCTGCAGGTGTTAGGTCCAGGAGCCGGGCACTGCGGTCTCCCGACCTGGAGACTCCAGAGTCCCCCACTCACCATGCGCAGATCGGGGCGGTACTTGTTCTTGCGGATCATGTGCCTGATGCTGCTGAGGGTGGCCCGTGCGTTCTTGTTGATGGTGGTCCGCACGTAGGATGTGGCTGGCTTCCGCTGACCTAGTGCAGGGAGTCCACACATGACTCACCTCCCAGGCTGAAACAACATTCTCACCCCAGAAACCTGAGCATCCTCCATTAGCTCTGACCCTGGACAGGCAGAGGGTCAGCAGCCTGGACTCTGGTCCCACCCATCCATTCAGTAGACCCCTACAGGCCTCCCAGACACACACACCCTGTCCTCACTAGCTCATTAACCCTCCAAGGTGACAACTGTGTAACCTTTGTTTTAATCTTAGCAAGATGGCCCAAAACTAAAGTGTTTCAGGACCAAGCTACCCTGACTAGAATCCCAAATAAGAATTATTTTTATTTATTTTTTGGTCGGCCGTGGGGCTTGAACTCTGGGCCTGGGCGCTGTCCCTCAGCTCTTCAGCTCAAGGCGAGCGCTCTACCACTTGAGCTACAGCGCCACTTCTGGTTTTCTGGTGGTTTATTGGAGATAGGAGTCTCACGGTCTCTCCTGCCCGGGCTGGCTTTGAACCGCGATCCTCAGATCTCAGCCTCCTGAGTAGCTAGGATTACAGGCGTAAGCCACCAGCGCCCGGCTCCAAATAAGAATTAGAGGTAGTACCCAGGTGCAAAATGCCCAGTGTAAGACCTTGTGTTGACTGGTCTGGGAAATAGATGTGCATCAGCCCTAGGGCAGAGAAGTCAGCTGGAACCATTAAAGAGCAACTTAACACCTCCCAGCTCCCAATCCTGGGCAACATACTGTTGGGAAAGAGCCCTAGCTAGCACTATAAGCTTCTGGAATGCTTCCCTGAGAAGTCAACAGGCAGCCTATGACCAAACCCACTCTTGGCCTAGGGATGGCTACCACAGACCCATCAATCTGAGTCTGTCAGGACCCAAAACAGGGTCCTCAGAGCAAGATGCCAGCTCCACTGCTCCCTGGACTGTTTGTTCCTGAAGAGGGAAGATAATCTCCCAAGATAGGAGGGCTGCAAGTCACTAGGGTCAAGGCCTGAGTGATGCCATCCATGAATAGGATGCTGGGCTCTGCGTGGGAGTAGAAGCCAGTCTCCATCAGCCTGGGGAAAAGTCATTCCAGTTAAAAAAAAAAAAATGCACGAAGGCCCAACAGGCACAGTTTTCCAGAGTAGTTAAGGGAGAAGTATGAGTGAGTGTGTGTGTGTGTGATATACACATAGGCCCCTGGCAACCAAGAGTAGGGATAGTGCCACCTTGGGCTAGGCCTAGCCCATCATCTTCACAAGGTTAGGAGAGCTCAACTGTTTGCCTCTTTGTGAGCTAGAAGGTACCTCACCTGCACGCTGCACTAGACCGTCCACGGCTTCGTTTGCACCCTCAAAGCCACCCGGGGATGCTCAGGCTCTCCTAGTTTCCCACTCACGGTGCGCAGATCCCGCTGCCAGGCAGACGGTGAGAAGAATGCGTTTCCCAGGCCCAACTCCTGACCCGAGAAGCTAAAAATGGACGGTAGATGCACTCCCCGGTCCCACAACTACCCTGTCCCAGCGCCCCGCCCCGTGTCCGGGGAGGCTCACCAGATCTCCGCTTCATGACCACCACGACCCCTTTGCCGTCAGCGGCAGGCTCCACGCCCACAGTCTTGCGGTGGATCAGCCCGTTGTACCGGAAGGAGTTGCGGGCCTTCAGGTTGTTGGGCTCCTGTGGACAAGGCACTAACCTGAGCCGAGGGGACACACGCGTGGGTCCCTTCCTGTGACCGCAGGCCCCTCTCCCCGCAGGGCTGCGGCGTCCAGGCCCTACTCACGGTGCTGTAGGTCTGCTTGTTCCTCTTGATGAGGAAGCTGGAGCAGTTCCTCACGACCATCCACTGCAGGTGCGCGGACATGGCGGCGGCTGCGGAGACACGAAGCACGTGGGAGCGCGCCGAGAGAGGCCGGCGCTGGGAGCGGGGCGGTTGGCGCCAGAGCCCCCGAGCAACTGCAATGGGGGGAGGTACCCGAGAGCAGGCCGCGGCCCGAGCCCCGGCAACGCGACCTACGGCGGCTACCAGCGAACGAGGGCCTCGGGACCGCGCGAAACCAGAGGGACAGGGCCGGGAGCTTCGCCGTCAAGGCGGAGGGGGTGCTGGGGGCAAAGCTGGGCGAGGGGCGAGGGCAGAGGGGAGAGGGGCGTCGGGCAGGCGGAGCGCACGCGCTCACCTCCTCGCGTTGCGGCAGCCGGAGACCAAAAGAGGTAGGCCGGAGGCGGGACAACAATTTAACGCCGCCACGCATTTCCGTTTCCGCTGTGGGCGAGCGCCCACCGCCGCCGGCCCGCCCTTCCTCCCTTGCTGCGTCCGGCCCCCGAAGCGGCTCGGTGGCGTCCGGCCATCCCCGCCGCGTCGTCGGGAGCCCTCGGGAGAGCGGTTCGGAGGTCTTCGGGCGCCCGTGGCACCCGGCGGGAGCCCTCGGCTGCTCCCTCCCGAAGGCGCGGGGGCCTCGCTCGGCTATTTCCGGAACGGTCCGCAGGCGCCGCCTCGGCGTGGCTCGGGCCTGGTCGGAAATACTCGGCCTTCCGGTCGGCCGCGTTCGGCCGATCCCCGCGGGATCCGGGCGGCGGGCCCTTCCCAGCCGTGTTGAACTTTCCCCCCCAACTTTGGAGCAACTGGACGGAGCGGACAGGAGGGACGGACTCTGGACGTGGCCGTCCCGGTCTCCTGCTAGTTGCCCGCAGTGGTCCGAGCCTCACTGCGCCCCGTCCCCGCCCCCAGCAGCTTGGCTGCCCCCTCCAGGGGCCCCCGGAGCTTATCATCCCGCCGGGCCCGTCCCGAAGGTGCCGCAGGCCCGTGCGGACCTTCGGCCCGCGCCCGGACACCGCCACCTCGGCTGATGGATGCGTTCCGTGTCAGGATTACGCCCGAGGACTGACTCCCTGCAGGCAGGACCAGGGCCAGGCTTTGCCCGCGTCTGCGCCCTAGGCGTAGGTACACGTGTGACCCCCGGGCCCGCCCCGCCACGGTAGTTTCACGCTGTCCACGGCGGATTCATCTTCGCGCCACGACGCCCGAAGACCCCAGAAAACGCTCGAGAGTCTCGAAGGAACTCAGCTCGTGCGCGGGCCGGGCCGGCTTTCCCGCGGGGCCTTGCCTGACCACTTTCGGGGCGCACTTGGTCCCGGAGCACGGGAGGCCGCGGGGCGTGGGCACTGACCGTGGGCAGCTCCGGGCCGCGCCGGCCCCCGGGCGGGGCTGCGTGCGGCGACTCAGGTGACCAGGCGGGCACTGGGCACACCTGGCCGCGTCCCCGGCCCCGCCCTGGGCGGCCGCACCCCGGGACGCTCTTTGCGGCAGCCAAGGGGCCAGGACTGGGCCATGGCGGCGGCGGCGGCGACGGCGTCCTGCGCCCCGCAGGCGTCCCCGGCTGGAGCCGCGCCCGCGCCCCCCGCGCCGCCGGGCCACGCGGCCGGCCTAGGCCGCTGCCGTGCGGCGCTGCTGCTGGCCGTGGCGCTGGACGTGGCGGGCATGGCGGCTCTGCTCACCGGCGTGTTCGCGCAGCTGCAGGTGCGCGGCCGCGACTTCGGTGACCTGCTCATCTACTCGGGCGCGCTGCTGGTGTTCATGAGCCTGCTCGGCTGGATCTTCTGGTACACCGGCAACATCGAGATCTCGCGCCAGGAGCTCGAGCGCGACTACGGCCTGCGGCCCTCGGCGCTCGCCCGCCTGGCGCGCAAACTGTCCCGCCGCTGGACGGCGCCCGCCGCTGGGCCCCGCGCCGCGCCCGGCCCCCTCGGAGCGCGCCGCGCCGCCCGCGCGTCCCCGCCGCCCGCCGCCCGGCGCGTGCGCCTGCAGCTCGCCACGCTCGAGGCTGGGCCCGGAGCGGCGGTCGCGGGCAGCGAGTGAGCCGCAGGTGAGGGCGGCCGGGAGGGCGGGGGAGGGGCGGGGAGGGGCGGGGGCGGCGCCCCCTGCACCCCGAGGTGCCGCGCGCACTGATGAAATCCTCCGAGCCCCGGAAGTCGGTGTGCGGGCCGTGCCCGGTCGGGGGTGCGCTCCCCTCGGCGGGCCTGTGCGAACCCCAAGACCACGTTTTGGCCTTTTCTCGCCTTCAACTGTTTTGTGACACCCCCTCAGTCCTAACACGCCCGGCCATGCCCTAAGGGGGGGAGTGGGGGGGAAGAGGGCCTCGGCTTGCATCCTAGTGTGTACCTGAGTGTCCAGCCTGATGGCCCTCACCCACAAAACTTCCCGCCTCTCTGCCTTTCTCCCCTCCAGTCTTCATACCAACTTCCTCTGTTGCTGCCTGGGAGACTCTGTCTGTGGGGCCGCCTCCACTGGGCAGGGAGATTTTGGGTAGGAAACCTGGGCCTCTGCCCCCCTCTGTTCCTAATACGGCCCAACATAAAGTTCGAAAAGGTTGGCAGTGGGAAGATCAGGAAGTAGATGGGGAAAGTAGGATGAAGGGTGGATGACTTGGTAGAAGGGGGGTGGGTAGAGAGGCCAAGGAGTAAGTTGGTGGATTCATGGGTAGGATGGTGAGTGGATAAGGTGGTTGGTGGATAGCTATGACTGGATGCCGGGTGGGTGGGTGGGTTGTTTAAAGGGCAAAGTGGGTGTATGGTTATATAGGTGTAGGTGGGTGAATGGCTGGTTGACTTGGTTGTTTGGAATAAGAACATAGTTGAACACTTGGGTAGGTCAGTGTCTGAGTCCATTTTCCATGAGAGGTCTATAAAAGAACTACACCCTGGGGCTGGGAAGGTGCCTCAGTAGTAGAGTGCTTGCCTCACATGTGTGATGCCCTGGGTTTGATTCCTCAGCACCACACACAGCAGAAAAAGCTGGAAGTGGCACTGTGGCCCAAGTGATAGAGAGCTAACCTTGAGCAGAAGAGCTGAGGGACAGCGCCCAGGCCCAGAGTTCAGGCCCGATGACTGACACAAAAAAAAATAAAAAAGAATTAAACCCTGACATTTTTCCTGTAATGGCTAATTAACTTTGATCCTAAGCATCAGGAATGATAGTGTAAGCCAGGTGCCAGTGGCTCACACTTGTAATCCTAGCTACTCAGGAGGCTGAGATCTAAGGATCATGGTTCAAAGCCAGCTTGGGCAGGCTTTTTATCTCCAATAAATCACCAGAAAACCAGAAATGGCACTGTGGCTCAAGTGGTAGAGCACTAGCCTTGAGCTGAAGAGCTCAAGGACAGCACCCAAGCCCAGAGTTCAAGCCCCACAACCGACAAAAAATTTAAAAATAGTGTAGCCAGGCACTGGTGGCTTGCACCTGAAATCCTAGCTACTCAGGAGGATGAGTGCGGATCATAGTTAAAAGCCAACCTGCCCATGATAAATTTTTTTTCCTGGCCCTGGGGCTTGAATTCGGAGCCTGGGCACTGTCCCTGAACCTTTTTGTGCTCAAGACTAGTGCTCTACCACTTGAGCATCACTTTTCTGCCAGGGCTTGCTTCAAACGGCGATCCTCAGATCTCAGTCTCCCTAGTTTAGGAGATTACAGGAGTGAGTCACTGGCACCCAACCTCCCGCCCCTCCCCAAGAGCTAAGAACCCAACAGGGTCTTATACGTGCCAGACAAGTGCTCTTCCACTAAGCTAATCCCCGGCGCCTCCATGAGACTCCAGTTAGCCACCAGAAAACCAGAAGTGTAGCTGTGGCTCAAAGTGGTAGAGCACTAACTAGCCTTGAGCAAAAGAACACAGGGACAGCGCAGCTAGGCCCTGAATTCAAGTCTGGACTGACAAAAAAAAAAAGAATGATAGTATCTGGTTGGTTGGCTGGCTGGTTGGGTTTGAGACATGGTCTCACTTTACAGATGAGGTTGACCTCAAATGCATGATCTTCCTACCTGAGCCCTGGGGTGACAAACAGGTGTGGGTGCCTGGCTCCTGGTGATTCTAAATGTATCATATTCTTTGTGAAAACTTAGAAAATAGGCACTCCCATGATACCCCACTTCTGTGGTTCAGATGAATAAACTGGTGTAAGAAGGGAATGGCAACTATGTATAGGTAAAGCATGAGTGAATCCTGTCTCATGAAGAAAACCACCATCTGTAGTTGCAATTAGCCTTGAGAATCCTTGACATTGCCCACACGTCTGCACCTCTGCCACAGCTGGGCGGACTCCACTGCTGGCACCACTCATAAGGGCCTCTAGCCAAGCTGACTTGAACAGAGCCCTCTTAGAAGGAAATAAGGGGTGTGGTGACACATGCCTGTAATCCCAGCACTGGGGAGGCGGGAGAAGGCTGCTCCGGAGTTCAAGGCCAGCCTGGGCTATGCATGGAGTTCTAGCTGGGCTACATGGCAACATTCCATCTTTAAGAAACAAACCAATGGCTCACACTTGTAATCCCAGCTACTCAGAAAGTGAAGGGTAGAGAATATGGTGGTTCCAAACCAGCCCAAGACAAAGGAAAAAAAAACCATGAAACCTAATCTCAACCAGAAAAGCTGGGTGGTCATGGTAGCATGTGCCTGTTCAGAAGCATAAATAGATCTCAGTGCTGGTTGGCCTAGACAAAAGAGGGAGACTTTCTAAAAAATAACCAGAGTAAGTCAAGTGCCAGTGGCATGCCTGTAATCCTAGCTACTCAGGAGGCTGAGATCTGAGGATAGCAATTTGAAATCTGTTCAGGCAGATATTCTGTGAGACTCATCTCCAATTAACCACCAAAAGCTTGAGGGACAGTGCCCAGGCCCTGAATTCAAGCACAAGTACCTGCACAAATAATAATAAGCAACCAGAGCAAAAGGGCTTTGGGCATGGCTTGGCAGTACCACAATATGGTGGCCAGAAAAAAGAAAGACTGGGTGTCAGTGGCTCACACCTGTAATCCTAGCTACTTAGAAAGCTGAGATCTGAGGGTCACAGTTTGAAGCCAGCCTGGGTAGGAAAGTTTGAGACTCATCTCCAAGTCTGAGATTTAACCAGCAAAAAAAAAAAGCCAGAATTGGAGCTGTGGCTCAAATGGCAGAAACATAGCTGTGAGCAAAAAAAAAGCTCAGGGACAGCACCCAGACCTGGTTTCAAGCCTAAGGACCAGGACACTCACTAAAAAAAGAAAAAGAGAATGCAGGCAGGTAGGTATAGGAACAGAAAAATTGCTGGGTGCCAGTGGCTCACAACTAAAATCCTACTTACTCCAGAGAGACCTGGAGGACCCTGGTTTGAAGGCAGCTCAAGTAGAAAAGTCCTCCAGGGGGCTGGAAAGGTGTCTCAGTGGTAGAGCGCTTGCCTTGCATGCATGAGGCCCTGGGTTTGATTCCTCAGCACCACATAAGCAAAAAGAAAAAAGCCGGAAGTGGCTCTGTGGCTCAAGTGGTAGAGTGCTAGCCTTGAGCTGAAGAGCTGAGGGACAGCTCCCAGGCCCAGAGTTCAGGCCCCACGACCAGACCCCCCCCCCAAAAAAAAAGTCCTCTAGATGTCATCTCTAGTCAGAAAAATGCTTGAAAACACAAGTGGTGAGCAAAAGCAAGAGTGCAAGACCCTGGTACTGGCATATCCATACATAAAGGAAGGTTGCATTTCCTTGACAGGCATGTTCTAGCTCTGGCAGTATCTCCTTTCTGTCTTCCTGGCCTTATCTTTTGTCTCTATGCCTTTCCCTGACCCTTGGGGTGGTATGGGGAAAGGGGGGAGTGTGCATTGAAAGCTAGGGGCTCAGCCTCCTGCCGCTGCTGCTGGAGAGCACAGGGGTGGGCAGGACAGGTCCTGAGCAGCCACTAACGCCACCCTCCCTCCTGCAGACAACCTCTCCGGTCAGGACCCACCCAGCCGAGATGCTCTGCCACCCCCCCGGCCACCCAGATGCCTGTGCTCCCTCTATCCCTACTGGATAAACGGCTTTGCCTAGACACTGCTTGGCTGTGTGGGACAGGGACACTTGGGGTGAGAGGAGGTCGCAGCCCCACCCAGGCTGGGGTCCCCCCACAGGAAGGCTGCCCTTGGCTGGGGCGGGGGTAGAGGCTGGAGCACGTTTCCCACGGGTGCCCCTTCTGCCCAGCCTGGCTCCCTGGCGCCCAGGCCCAGAGTTCAAGCCCCACCACTGACGGGGAAAAAAAAGCAAGCAAAAAGCTAGGAGCATGGCACACGCAGAAGAGCCTGCCAGACAAGCTCAAGGCCTGAGTTCAAGCAAGCTTCCCATACTGCCCAAAATGGAAAGAGACACATCTGTACTCCATATCTGTATTGAGGGGTTCCCCCTGGGGACCCCGCTAGTCTGTCTCCCCCCCCTCTGTGCTCTCTCCCGCCGTCCCTTCCCCACCAGAGACATCCCCCGCCTCTGTGGGCTCTCCCCCTGATGTCTTCTTCGACAGCAGTGAGCCCGGCCGTGATAGGCGGCATCTGCCCTTCAGAAACTTCGGTAGGTGCAGCATGTCCCTCCGCCGGGCCCACCTGGGGAGGAGGGACAGGCTCAGCACTGCGCGGCCGCCCAGGCCCCGCCTTGATGGCCCCCAACCCCCAGCCCGCTCACCAGAACAGACAGATGCTGCAGATGAGGAAGAGCAGCCCACCGCATGTCCAGCCCAGGGCCCACATGTGCTTCCGGCGCATGTTCTCTGCATGGAGGAAGGAGGTTGAAGGCTCCCGAGCCCACCCCAGCCCAAGGAGACCCAGCACCCCACCACTCACCGTCCGGCCGCTGGTGGTAGCAGACGCCATCTCGGTAGCAGCACCGCAGACGCAGGCAGAGGTTGGGGTTCTCAATGGCCGCCTGGCCCCCACAGCTCTCCCTGTCCCACACATCTCCCTCACAGCCTGGGGGCCACCACAGCAGAGCCTGTGTTACAGACCTGGCCCTGCAGGCTGCAGACACCCAATGCCCAGCTCCAGGGCTACTCCGCGTGGAGCCCAGCGGAGCCCTGCCTTACCAGGAATCTAGGCCAGCCTCCTCCCTCAGACCCAGGGGTCCAGGCCCAGCCTCCTCCCTCAGTCTGAAGTCACATACTCCTTCAGTTCCAGGAGTCCAGAACCCAGCCTCCTCCCTCAGACCCATGGGTCCAGGCCCAGCCTCCTCCCTCGGACTCTGAAGTCACAGACTCACTCCTCCTTCAGACCCAGGAGTCCAGACCCCAGCCTCCTCCCTCAGACCCAGGGGTCCAGGCCTCACCTCTCCTCCCTCAGACCCAGGGGTCCAGGCCTCACCCACTCCTCCCTCAGACTCTAAAGTCACAGACTCACTCCTCCTTCAGACCCAGGAGTCCAGACCCCAGCCTCCTCCCTCAGGCCCAGGGATCCAGACCCAGCCTCCTCATCCTCTTAGAACCCCAAGTCTAATCTGGGCTCCCCCTTCCTGGAGACTCCAGGATTTCAATTCCTGCTCACTCCATGGATAGAAGAATCCTTGAATTCCATTCGCATCTGTGAGATATGAGAGGTGGAGTCAGGTGCTGTCTAGAAGCCCAGGCCCCCCCCCAAGTGTCTGTAGCAGCCCCCTCACCTACTGAGCCCTGCACCAGCAGGAGAAGACCCAACGCTGGGATCCCAGAGCCCACCATGCTGCCGCCCATGGGGCCTCTGTGGAGAGAGGCCGGGAAGGACATCACCCCAGCAACAGCCAGGCCCCGCCCTAGCACCCCAACCCCAGGGTTCTGAGTTCCATGGCCAGGGGGTCCCCAGCTTGGGGCTTTGAGAGAAGCGCCTCTGGCCTGCTCATGTCCAGCCTAGGAGGTGGCGTACTGAGCACCCAGGTGGGAGAGGTGGGTGGGTACGAGAGGAGACCAGGGGGGGAAAGGGCCTGGTTTGGGGTGTGCCCCCACTCCCTCCCCCATCACCTCAGAGCTAGCAGGACAAGAGAGCTTGGGATGCTCCCCAGCCTCTCCCTCAGGACTGGATGCCTGCGGATGCCCTCCTCCGGTGGCAAGAGTCTCAGGGGACCTCGTTGCTAGGGAGTCTCTCCCTTAGCAACCAGAGGGAGGGGCCCCCTGGGACCTGTGGGGTCTCACTGAGCCCCATTGTTAGGGAAGGTAGTTCCCCTAGCAACCAGGAGATGAGGATGGGACAATGGGGGCCCCAGGGGTGGAGGCCCCATCCCAGACATTCCGCTGAGGAGGGGAGCCGAGCTAGGGAGTCTCCAGTTGTTCTGCAATGGTTTGCGTCTTCCAATGAGTGTTGGGGGCCCAGGCTTCCGAGAAGGGCTGGCCAGCCAGATGGGGTCAGGGAAGCTACGACTCCCTGCTCACCTTGGCCTTGGACCCCAAGGCCCGTGGGAGGAAGGCTGGCGCTAGAGCCCTGGCTCTGGGGGTGGAGGGCTGGGGTGGGGACCCCTCTCACACCCAGGCTCCTGTGCACACAGAGAGAGTACCCCGACTCCTCAGAGATGACACAGGTTGCAGGGGGACTGGCGGGAGGCTGGGCAGGGGTCAGAGGGCGCCAGGCTGAGCAGCTGCAGAGCGTTTCCTGTGTCCACGCCATCTGGACCCACTTCCCAATTCCCTGGATTCCTCGGGGATCAGGGAGGGGGTAGGGTGGGGCTGGGGGGGGGCCACCGGCTGGGCCCTCACCGCTAATGACAGGTTTGGGCTGCCTCTGCGGCCCATGGGCCCCAAGGCCAGACAGGACCCCCCAGGGACAGACAGACGGACACACACAGCCTGGGCCCTGCTGACATCATACCCAGCCATGCACCACCTCACCAGGGGCTGGTACAGTGGCCAGGGCCCCCTGGCCAGCCCAGGGTGTCTTCCGGAACCCCCGTCTGGCCTCCCTCGCACCGGCCTTTCCTGCATGGCTTCTCATCCCGGGTCTTTGTGGTCTGTCTCTGGCTCTGCCCTCTCATGGGATCTGTGCCTCATTTATGGCTCATGTCCCCCACAGAGGTGCCCGCATCCCACCTAGGAAAGCCCCCTGGGAGCCTCGGCCCCTGGAGGCCAGGGAGTGAGGTCCTACCCCAAAACCTGGGGCAATGACCCCAGCAGGCAGCTCAGCCTCTGTCTCCAGAGCACAGGGGGTCTTGCAGATGCGTGGAGAGCTTGTACTCCTGGATGTGGAGGGGGTTGTCTTGTGCCTGAACCCCCGAGTCTAAGGGAAGAAGAACAAGGTCTGAAAGAGGAAGCTGGAGTAGAAACTCCTGGATCTGAGGGAGGAGGCTAGGGTCTGGAACCCCCGGGTCTGAGGAAGGAGGCTGGGGTCTGCACCCCTGCATCTGAGGAAAGAGAACTAGGGTCTAGACCTTGGTGTCTGGCAGAGGAAGAGGGCTGGGGCCTGGACCCCCAGGTCTGAGAGAGGAGGCTGGGGTCTGAGGGTGGAGGTAGGGAGTGAGTGCTGGGTGAAGGGGCTAGCACTCCACATTCTGGTGTTGCTCCCAGGCTGGCCACAAGCCCAGCCGGCGTCCCCTCTGTGCCGTCCATCCCCCGGGCTGGTGGTCTGAGTCACCTTGGCTGGCCCCACCACCGGTCTGGGGGAGCGACGTCAGCTCTCCCCTCATGACGCAGCCTCAGGCCCCCCACGCTGACTCAGCCGGAAACAGGCCCCTCTGACCCAGCGGTTGGAGGCCTGGGTCCCAGCGGGAGTCCTGGCTGGGAGGCCTCTGGGGGCCCTCAGAGGGACGGCAGACCCAGGAGGGGGAGAAAGGAATGCTTACCTGAGTGGATGAGGTCATGTCCCACCATGGTGGGCCTCTGACCTCACCTCCCTGGCTGGTTGGCTAGGTTATTTTTTTTGGGGGGTGGGGAGGCAAGGGGGGGAAGAAATGAACTTTGAACTCATGGCCCTGCACTGGAGCTGCACTCCCTAGGGCTTGAACTCTGGGCCTGGGCGCTGTCCCTGAGCTGCTTTTGCTCAAGGCTGGCACTCTACCACTTGAGCCACAACACCACTTCTGGCTTTTTCCGTGTATGTGGTACTGAGGAATCAAACCTAGAGCTTCCTGCATGCTAGGCGAGCACTCTATCACTGAGCCACCTTCTTTTACAGTAGGCATCCTCGTTTTATTTGGGGGCAGTTCTGGAGTTTTGTTTTCTGGCCGCACTAGGGTTTGAACTCGATCTTTGCTCAGCTTGCCGTGCACTCTTCCACTTGTGTCCTGTGACTCTAGCTGACCCTGTCTCCCGGGGGACCCCAGTGGTCACCCTCCCTTGCCCCCAGCAGCAGAGGATGGGAATGGGGAGGCCTCCAGCTACCTCAGAATGCTGGGCCCTCAGCTCAGGTCAGCTCAGAAGCCTGGGAGGTCGGGCTACCCGGGGCTCAGCCTGCCTGTCTTTCCCTGCCATCCACATCCCGGAGGCGAGGCTCCCAGGGATGAGGCTTGGTGTCTCTGTGGGCATCTGCCTGTGCGGGCACTTCTGTGTCCCTGACTTTGGGTGGGGGCCTCATCCAGGTCTAGCATCCCAGCACTGGTTTTGGGTCCAGTCTCCCTGTCCTATCCCATCACTGTCCTCATCTTTCCCCCTCTCCAATGGTGACATCTGTGTCTCTGGATTACTAATAAAATGTGTCTGTGAGAAAATCGGTGGTCCTTTGTGTGTTACCTGGAGCTCTACTCTGCAGCACTGAGGTGGGAGGGCACCCAATACAGAGAGGTCCTGTCACAAGCCCAGATCCTGCCTCCCTGGCATGTCCTGATTCCTCCTCCTCTTGCTCCAGTCTCTGTTCCTCTCTCGGCTTTTGTTGATGCTGGTTTTGTCTTTTATTTTGGAGGGGGGGTCCTGTCATGGGGCCTAACTCTGGGCTTGGGTGCTGTCCCTCAGCTCTTCAGCTCAAGGCTAGTGCTCTACCACTTGAGCCACAGCGCCACTCCTGGCTTTTTTCTTTTTGCTTATGTGGTGCTAAGGAATCGAACCCAGGGCCTCATGCATGCAAAGCAAGCGCTCTACCACTGAGCCACCTTCCCAGCCTCTTCTTCTTGTTGTTGTTGTTGTTTTTTGGTTTGTTTTGGTTGATGTTTTTTGAGGAGAAAGGAGTTGTTTAGTTTTGGTGTTTTTTGGTGTTTTTTTTGTTTTTGTTTTTGGGGTCCGGTCGTGGGGCCTGAACTCTGGACCTGGCCGCTGTCCCTCAGCTCTTCAGCTCAAGGCTAGCACTCTACCACTTGAGCCACAGCGCTACTTCTGGCTTTTTTCTTTTTGCTTATGTGGTGCTGAGGAATCAAACCCAGGGCCTCATGCGTGCAAGGCAAGCGCTCTGTACCACTGAGCCACCGTCCCAGCCCTTGGTGTTTTTTTTTTAATTGGTTGTGGGTCTTGACCTCTGGGCTTGGGCGCTGTCCCTCAGCTCTTCAGCTCAAGGTGGGCACTCTACCACTTGAGCCACAAAACCATTTCCAGTTTTCTGGTGGTTTATTGGAGATAAGAGTCTCATGGACTTTGCTGCCTGGACTGGCTTTGAATGGCTATCCTCAGATCTCAGCCTCCTGAGTAACTAGAATGACAGGCATGCGCCACTGGCGCCCAGATGGGTTGTTTGTTTTTTGTTTTTTCTCAGTTGCAGGACTTCAACTCAGGGCCTGGACCAACTCAGGGCCTGGATGCTGTCCTTGAGCTGCTTTTGCTCAAGGCTAGCACACTACCACTTGAGCCACAGCACACCATACCCCCTCTCCCACCCCAGCTTTTTCAGTGTATGTGGTCCTGAGGAATCAGGGCTTCATGAATACCACTGAGCCACCTTCCCAGGCCCAGGTCCTGAGCTTTTTTGCTGAAGGCTAGCATGCTACGGCTTTGAGCCACAGCACCACTTCTAGTTTTCTGGTGGTTCACTGGAGATGAGTCTCATGGACTTTGCAGATCTCAGCCTCCTGAGTAGCCAGGAATTATAGGCAGGAGCCACTAACGCCCACCTGGGGAAGGTTTGTTTTGTTTTGTTTTTTTGTTAGGGCCTGGGCTCTGTTCTTGAGATTCTTTCACTGCTCAAGGCTAGCGCTCTACCACTTGAGCCACTTGTGTGTGGTACTGAGGGATCGAACCTGGGGCTACACGTGCTAGGCGAGCACTCAACCCTAAGCCGCCACCTTGGGCCTGGGGCAAGTGTTTTGAATCAGGCTCTGGTGACTTCCCTCCACGGCCTTCTGCGTGCTGAGTGGAACCTCCAAGCCTGGCCCGCTGGCTTCTGGATTCCACCTGTATCCGTCTCTCCCCGTCCCTGCCCGCCGCTGGGTCCCTGTCATCTCAGCATCCTCGGCTGCTAGCCGCCTTCCCCCTCCATCCTCTGCGTGGGCTCCGCGCGCTTGTCAGCAGCCTGCTCTCCTGCCCTGTTCCCCGTCCCACGTCCTGGTCCCCGTCCTTGGCGCGCGGGGGGGGGTCCCCAGGTCTCCCCGGGCCACTCCCTGTGGGGTCATATCGCTGGCTCTCCCACCTTTGGGGCTGATGGTGGTGGTCTGTCTAGTGCATCCCGTCCGTCCTTCTGCTCGTCCGCCTGTCCTGGCCCACCAGGCCCCCTCTCCCCGGGCTGGGCCCCTCCACCAGCCCCCCGGCCGCGTGCGCCCTGGCGGCGGGGCGCGGAGGGAGGGAGGGGACGCCATGACCTCACCGCCCTCTCCGACCCCCCCCCTTTCCACTTTCCCAACTTTTCCTCCGTGCCTGCCCTCCTCGGCGCGGCGCGGGGCCGGCCGGCAGCCGGAGCGGCGCAGTGGAAAAGGCAGGAGGGAGGGTGAGTCAGGATGTGTCAGGCCGCCCTCCGCGCCGGCCCCCCGCCCGCCGTCCCGGCCCCCTATATAACCCCCGGGCGGGCCGCCCTGCGCCCCGGCGCCGCGCAGCCACAGGCCGCCCTCCCCAGGCCGAGCCCGCTGACCTTGGGGCTCCCCGACCCCCGGGCCCCGCTCGGGGGATCCCCGGCCTGCGGGGACATGAACGGTGAGCCGGCTCCGGCCCGCGGGGGGCGGCGGGGGACGCGGGGGACCGCGAGTGCCGCGGGGACCGGGGCCGGCCGGGCGGGGCGCGGGACAGGTGCCGGCAGGTGATCCGCAGGGGCGGGGGGGGAAACTGAGGCAGCGTCCCAGAGAGGAGCGCGCCCTGGCACGGGGCGCGGAGCGGAGGGATGCGAACGGCGGGCCGGAGACCGACGTGCGGGGCTGGGCGCGGGGCGGCCGGGCAGGCGCGGCCGGGGGGCGCGGCCGGGGGTGTGCGCCGGGCGCCGCGGGCGCTGATTGGCCGGGCGGCCGAGGGGGCGGGGCGGCGGGGGATGGGCGGCCGTCCAGGGCCCTGCGCCGCGACTCCACCGACCCAGGTGCGCCGCGCCCCGGGCCGCGCCCCGGGCCGGCGTCGGGGCTTCGGGCCGCCCGGGCGGGCGCGCGCGCTCTCGGGCCCGGGAGGGGGCAGGTTCTGGCCTGTGCCTCCCCCCCCCCCCGCGCCCCGCCCCGGGGCCCGGATTCCGGCGTCCGGGGGCGGACGGGAGACGCCCGGCCCGTCTACCCGCCCGGGGCCGCGTCTGCTCCGACGGGCGGGGCAGCCAGAGGCAGGGAGGGAGGCAGGGAGACAGCCCTCCCGAGCTGGGGACCCGGCCCGGCGCCCCACCCTCCGGCCTCCTCCCTCAGCCCCGTGGGTGCAGGCATTCAGCCTCTCCCTCAGCCCCGGGGATGCCGACCCCCGTCTCCTTCCTGACCTCAGGGTTCGGGGGCCCCAGTCTTTCCCCTCAGACCCAGGTTCCAGCCTGAGCTCTCTATTCTTCTGTACCCAGGTGTTTGCCGCCTGGTCCTGGTGGTGATGACCCTCTGGCCAGACAGAGTGGTGGGCCCTGGGCCACCTTCTGGCTCTGCTCGAGCCCCAACCGACCCCAGGGCCGAGGTGGACAGCGCGGTGCTCCTAACGCGCTCGCTCCTGGCCGACACCCGGCAGCTGGCTGCACTACTGGTAGGAGCCGGAGACGGGGGGGGGGGGGGGGGGGGGGGGGGGGGGGAGGCGGAGGAGATGGTGGAGGCCGGCCGACAGAGGGTGGAGAGCAGAGTCTCTCCGAGATCTGTACACCAGCCACCTGGACAGCTCTACCCAGGGTGGCAGAGCCAGAAGAGGGGTCTGGGGGAGGGAAGGGAGTCCCCTCACAGCTTCTTTCTCCCCAGAGAGACAAGTTCCCAGCCGACGGAGACCATAGTCTGGATTCTTTGCCCACCTTGGCCATGAGCGCAGGAGCCTTGGGAGCCCTGCAGGTAGCAGATAGGGAGGGCTGGGGCCACACAGGGTAGGGTGTGGGGAGGGCCAGGTAACAGACCAGGTGCTCCCTAATGCCCGGTGGTGGGCCTCAGTTGCCAGGGGTGCTGACAAGGCTTCGCGTGGACCTGCAGTCCTACCTGCGGCATGTGCAGTGGCTACGCCGGGCAGGTGGCCCTTCCCTGAGGACCTTGGAGCCCGAGCTGGGTGCCTTGCAGGCACGGCTGGACCTGCTCCTGCGGCGACTGCAGCTCTTGGTATGGCCTGGCTCTGAATCTTTACACCCCCACAGCTAGGACCTGAGGTTGAGCTCTCACACCCAGGGTCCTAGTCCAGTTCTGGAAGCCAGACCCCAGACCTGAGCTGTGAGCCTGACACACCCAGGGTCCTGAGGCCCCTCAGCCCCAGAATTCTGGCCAGATACTCCACATGCTCCCGGAGACCCTGCGACCTCACCATCAAAGGAGACAGTCTCCAGAATCCCAGCCCCCAAGCCCCTAGACCCCAAGATTCCTCCCTGAACTGACAGTTTCATTACTGAGATCATGACCCAAGCCCCAGCTGACCCCTCCCCCCCCCACAAACCTGAGGCTCTGAGACACAAACCAGCACCAACCTGCAGTCCCAAGACCCCAGATCCCGCCCTGAGGTCCCCACACCTCACAGCCACAGCCTCAAGAATCAAGACCTGACCCTGTTAGGTCTCAAGAACCTGATGGCCTCAAACCATCAGCCCCAGAAACAAGTCTCTAGGACCTACTGTCTCCTTTTCAAGGAAATAAACCCTGAAACAAGAGGTCTGATTAGAAGCCCTGCAGAGCCCAACACCCTGACTTCCAAAATTCCAGACCCAAGGCCCTGAGACCCAAAGACTTCAGACTTGGATTCCTGACCTGACTTCAAAGACCTCAGACCTCAAGTTCCAGTTCCAGGCTCCAAACCCATGAATCCCTGGTCTTGGTCCCAGAAACGTTAGCTACATCTAAGACCCTAACCCTGGGATCCTGGGCCTGACCCTAGACTTGTGCCCACAGGCCAAGACATTGTACCTAGACACACCTAGCTCTACAATTGCAGCCCCAACCACCCAAGCCCCAAAACATGACCCTAGAAGCCAGGCCTTCAGATGACAAACCTTTGGAATGCAGCTTCAATGTGTGTATGTGTGTGTGTGTGTGTGCGCCAATACTGAGGCTCATCCTGGGCACTGTCCCTGAGCTTTTTTTTTTCTTCTCTCAAGGCTAGTGCTTTACCACTTGAGACACAGCTCTACTTGTGGTTTTTTGGTGGTTAAGTGGACTCTCATGTTGGAGCTGGCTTTGAACCATGATTCTCAGATGTCAGCCTCCTGAGTAGCTAGGATTACTGGCATGAGCCACTGGCACCAGACACTCCCCTTTGATTTTTTTTTCTTTTTTTTTCTTTTATTTTTGTCAGTCATGGCTCTGGCCTGGGCGCTGCCCCTCAGCTTTTCAGCTCAAGATGAGCACTCTACCACTTGAGCCACAGCGCCACTTCCGGTTTTCTGGTGGTGGTTCAATGGAGATAAGAGTCTTAAGCCGGGCGCTGGTAGCTCACGCCTGTAATCCTAGCTACTCAGGAGGCTGAGATCTGAGGATCTCGGTTCAAAGCCAGCCCGGGCAGGAGAGACCGTGAGACTCCTATTTCCAATAAACCACCAGAAAGCCGGAAGTGGCGCTGTAGCTCAAATGGTAGAGTGCTTGCCTTGAGCTGAAGAGCTGAGGGACAGCGCTCAGGCCTGGAGTTCAAGCCCCACGATCGACCAAAAAAAAAAAAAGAGTCTCAGGGGCTTTCCTGCCCAGGCTGGCTTTGAACTGCGATATTCAGATCTCAGCCTCCTGAGTAGCTGAGTAGCTGGGATCACAGGCCTGAGCCTCTGGCACCTGGCTTCTGCTTCAATTTCTGAAGCCAAGTTCCTGAAGAGAGATTGCAGCTAGGCAGCCTGGCAGCCCCCAGAACCCTGTCCCCACTCCTTTGCTCTTCCCTGCTTTTTTTTTTTTTGGGGGGGGTCCAGTCATGGGGCCTGAACTCTGAGCCTGGGTGCTGTCCCTCAGCTCTTCAGCTCAAAGCTAGCGCTCTACCCCTTGAGCCATAGTGCTACTTCAGCTTTTTTCTTTTTGCTTATGTGGTGCTGGGGAATCGAACCCAGGGCCTCAGGCATGCAAGGCAAGCACTCTACCACTGAGCCACCTTCCCAGCCCTCTTCCCTGCCTTTCACTAACCTCTTTCCCTCCTAACAGGTATCCCACTTGGCCTTGCCCCAGGCACCCCTGGACCAGCCGCCCGTGCCCCTGGGTCCCCCCACCTCGCCATGGGGGAGCATCAGGGCAGCCCACGCCATCCTTGGAGGGCTGCATCTCACTCTGGACTGGGCTGTACGTGGCCTGCTGCTGCTGAAGACCCGGCTGTGACCTGGCCCGAGGCCACCACTGCCCTGCGATGCCAGATCTTATTTATTTATTTATTTTAGCACTGGGAGTGTGGCAGTCAGGGCATACTGCTCCCCCTCCACCATTCCCCCCACCTAGTTAGATACACAGTCCCTCCAGGAGACCTGGGCAAGGGGACACCTGTGCCTTATTTATACTTATTTATTTACAGGGTGGGAAGGGCAGGCAGCCTCCTTGGAGGGAGGGGGCGGCGGGAGATACCAGGGTCCTGGATTCTTGGATCTTTCCATAGAGGCTTCCTGGCTCCTTTCTCTCTGGGCCTGGGCAGGCTCATTTATTATTTATTAAACAATTACTTTTTATATTAGGAATGGGAGGGAGGGGACAAGAAAGCCTGGGTTTTTGTACAAAAAAAAGAAAAAAGAAAGAAAAAAGAGTGTGAGACCTTTGTGAGACAGAGGAAAGGGATGATTTGTTCTGCGTCATCCACTCAGGCGTGATTTCGCCAAAGGCGATAGGGCTGGGGGCCTGGGGTTTGGTGCTTAGTGGGCAAAGAGGGAAAGGAGCGAGGCTGGTGGCTCAGAGTGAGGTCTTGGCCTCACTCAGTGCCCCGCACATCATAGGCCCTTGATAAATATTTCATGGAAGGTCCCAGAAGGTCATCCCATGCCTGGAAGCTTTGTAGCTCGAGGTGGTTCGTTTTGACAGTGTCCAGCATGGTAAATCAGAAAGACGTTCACGCGTATCCATGGGGGAGGGGGGGAAGGGCAGTGATCTATGGCAAGGCAAGGCTCCTAGTGAGGCCTGCGCAGCTCCTAGACAGGGAAGCTCCAGAGAGACCAAAGATGCCCTCCTTCCCCGTCTTCCGTGTGGTCCTGGGCTTGTTTTCTCACCCTGTGGGTGTTTTTTTTGCACACACAGGGGAACATTGCCAGTGACTGGCTCAGGGAGGGATCGTGTTGGACTTTCATTGTTCGTGCTTCTCTGTATTTGTTCAGAATTTCTACCATGACTGTATTTCGTGCAACACATTTAAAAATAATAAACACTATTTTTAGGATGTCCAAAAATCAGCCTACCCCCTTTTGTCAGTCATGGGGCTTGAACTCTGGGCCTGGGCACTGTCCCTAAGCTCTTCAGCTCAAGGCAAGTGCTCTACTTGAGCCACAGTGCCACTTCCTCAGCCTCCCATTTCCAATGGTTTTAAAAACGCCTCACAGGGCCAACCTCCCCCCCCTCCCATTATTGGAACCCTTGCTTAGGGCAGTGCCAATTTCCCTGAATCCTCAAATACTGTTTCACAGTTGAGGCTTAGATGGGAGAGAGGGACCCGAGGCTCTGCTCCACTCGCACTCACCCCAAAGGTGTTGTACCTCTGTTTTGGGGTGCTGGGGATGGGACCTGGGGCTGGTGCACACCGGGTGAGCGGCCAGCTCTTGGTTTTCTCAAGCTAACCTGGGACTCCCAGCTCTTGCCTCTGCCTCTGATGTGCTGGGATTACAGGCATGAATCCATCAGGCCTGGCCTATGGTGTCCGTTTCTGTATGGTTCAGTGTTCAAGCTCCATTTCCATGGGGAAACTAAGGCTTGGCAGGAGTTTAAGTTTTATCTTGAGTCTACAGCACGGCCCAGCCGAAGAGATGCCACAGAATCAAACCCTTGGTCACTGATCCAGTTACAGTAACCCAGACAGAGCCTCCAGGGGGCCCTGTGTTGCCAGGCACCCACTCTGGGCCTGGAGTTCTGACTCGCACAGCCCCCAAGACTACAGGCCTTGTCCTCCGAGAATGAAGCCCCCCGGAGAGTTCCCAGGAAAGGTCCCCGGGGTGTCCCGTGAGGTCACAAAGCCCCCACCAAAGGCTCCTCCCACAGCCCAGTGCTGCCCCCTGCAGAGCCATGGCCACAGCTGGCTGAGCCTTCCTTCCCGGGACAGCGCCACTCAGTGCTGAGCTCCGTGTGGTACCTGTGAGGCTCCAGGGGCCAAGGCCAGTGGGTGGGATAGGGTGGGAGGGGAGGGGGGGGAGAGCAGGGGGAGAATGCAGGGCACGCCCGGGGACTGGGGCCCTGAATCCCCCGCTCCTGCAGCCATCATGAAGCGCCTGTGGAGCAGCCGGCGTGCACGACCCTCCCAGCCGCACCTGAAGTGGGTCCCCATCCTGGGGGAGCTGCAGAAGACGCTGCAGAGGGGAGAGTACTTGCCCCTCCGCCCACTGCCCATGTTCGAGAGTAACTTTGTCCAGGTCCCCGCGCCCTGTGCCCTGGGGGCTGGGGGGAGGGCGAGGGTCTGCGGGGGTGGGGGGGGGAGGAGGAGGAGGGAGGACCGGGAAAGGTAGGCTGGGGAGGGGGCTTGAGGCATGCTGGAAGAAGGATCGGTCCCAGCTCTGCTCCCCGGCCACCCAGGTGACAAGCAGTGGGGGCCCCGTGTTCGTGCACCACAGAGCCAACAGACTGACTATGGGCGTGGCGGCCTCCCTGCCTGGCCTGGTGCTCCCTGACACCCTGCTCATCGCCCGGCCCCCAGAGGGCCGAGACCGCTCCAGCCTGCTGCTGTCCAGGTGCCTCCCCGCCCCCCCCAGCCCTGTCCCCCCAGTCCCCCTTCCCCCTAGCTCCAGCTGGCCGACTCCCACCTCCTAGGATGATCCCGCTGGACCTCGTCCACCTCTACGTCCACAACATGCACAGCTGGCGCCTGAAGCTGCGCCTGGCCACTGGCCGCTACTACTACCTGGAGCTGGACGCCCCAGACCACGAGCTGGGCTTCCTGTTCGACCGCTGGATCTACCTCATCAACCTGCTCCGGGAGCCAGCCACCACCTGGGCCCCCAGGACCTTGCACCTCCCACCCCCGGGCCAGCCCTTAGATGCAGCCCCTGCCTCCACCTGGCGCCTCCAGGTGCGACCCCAACCCAATGGCTCTCTGGGGTGGTGGCTCTCCAGATTCTGCAGGGAAAGGAACTGGGACCCCAGACTGTTGGGCCTGGGGGGTGGGGAGGGGCTGAGGAAGGAGGGATAGGGTCAGTGCCAAATTGGCCAGGGCCTGACCGCGCCCTCCTTGTCCACAGGTGCAATGCCCACGGGACTCCACAGGTGAGAAAACTCTGGCCTCCGCTTGGCATGGCCACCATCCTCTGTACTCCAGCTACCCTGAGTGGGGGGACAGGACCTCAGCATCTGGGCCCTGAGCCCCCCACCCTGTGTCCACTCACGTCTCTCCACCTCTATTCCCAGAGGAGGTGTGTGTGCCCACCTTTCCTTACAAGACGCCAGCTGCTCAGAATCAAAAGGCCAAGGTGGGCAGCCTAGTGGGCCTCGGGGTGGGGTGGGGCCAAGGTAGGCCAGCCAGCCAGACCCAGAGGGTGGGGCCTGGGCTGCCCCTCTTCTGACTACCCCCTCCCTCTCCCCATCCCACCCTCAAGCGCACTTTCAAGTCCCAGGCTGTGGGGGGTTCGATGCCAACCATGTGGCCAAGGCTGGAGCGTGCTGACATTAAGAAGAAAGACCTGAGAAAGCAGTGAGCAGGGGGCTTCTGCCCATGGCACAGGGAGGGGCGAGGGCTCCAGGCAGGTGCTGCCCATGTCCCTCGGCAACCTTGCTCCACAGGTCACACCCAGAGGCCAGATCAGACAGGAATATCACCCAGATCCAACTTCCAGGTAAGAACCTCTCTTCCTCTGCTCCTATGGACCTGTGGCAGCTCTGAGCCTCTCCTAAGAGGACTAAGGCTGATGCCTCCCCACACAGACAAGACCAGCATCACCATCCGCACCATCTTCAGCATCATCTCCAATACCATCAACCAGTCACACTCGTCCTCCAAGGCCAGTTATGCAGGCACCTGGAGGGCTGGGGGAGGGTGCTCTGTGGGATCCTGGGGAGCCTAGAGGGCTGAGGTCTGAACCCCTGGGTCTGAGAGTGGAGGCTGGGTCTGGACCCCTGGGTCTGAGAGAAGAGGCTGGGTCTGGACCTCTAGGTCTGAGGGAGGAGACTGGGGTCCAGATCCCTTGGGTCTAGGAAGAGCTGGGCCTGGACCCCTGAGATGGGGTGTGTGATGGGGGGAGGCTGAACCCCCAAAATGGAGAGTAATGGGAGGAAGGGTGGACCCCTGAGATGGGGTGTGTGATGGGGGGAGGCTGGACCCCTGAGATGGGGTGTGTGATGGGGGAAGGCTAGACCCCTGAGATATGGGGGTATGAGAGGGCAGTAGGACTGATAGTGCCTCCCACCCTCCACAGGCTTGCATGTCTGACTCGGAGGGAGCCCTGGGCCCGCGGGGCTTGATTGAGACCCCAGTGCACTGCATCTCCAGCAACAGGACCGAGCTCCCCTTCCTGGACTCCTGTGACCACCTGGACATGCTTCTCTGGCACCAGGACCTGGACGAGCTCATGGACCCTGAGTCCAGCACTGTGACATCCTCCTCCCTGGGCCCTTACCTGGGCTCTCCTGCCCTCCACCTCTTCCCACCCCACCCCTCTGCCCTCAGGTCTGGCAAAAAGGCTACGCCTAAAGTCTTTCAGCCCCAGGGACCCCCGCCCACCAAGAAGGCTCCCTCAGCCCCTAGGGCTCCCTTCACCAAGGAGCAGCCTGGGAGGGGGGCGGCTGCCTCCCTTCACACACCATTCCAGAAGGCCCCAGCTGTAGCTGGGCTCCCTCATAAGGCCCCCCCTGGATCAGCTGTTCCCCAGAAAACCCCAGCCCTCCAAAACTCCTCTTTGAAGGTCCCTGTTGTCCCTGCCCTGCCCCAGAAGGCTCTGCCCCAGCCCCAGAAGGGGCCACAGGCCTCTGCTGTGACCCGGAAACCCCTGGCACCCCCTGCCTCCAGGAAGGAACCTGTGGTCCCGCCCACCCCTTGGGCCTCACCACCACCACCAGATCCGGCCGGGGCAGATGCCATCATCTCCGAAGAACATAAGCTGGAGGGGGCCCCATCTAGAGGGAAACTTGAACAAGTGGTATTTTGGGGTGCCCAGGGAACGCAAGTGGTGGAGGTGAGGACCACGACCAGGTCCCTGGAGCTGCCCCATGCCAAAGCCAAGAAGGAGTCCAAGGAGCTCCTCATTAGCCGCACGAGAGAGCTGGCCCTGGAGGCCCTTGAGGGCAGGGAGAAGCTGGAGAACGCGGTGCACAAGGTGAAGGAGGAGGTGGTGCTGGACCTGCCCAACCTGAGGTCCAAGGAGGTGGAGCAGAGGCAGCGGTGGGTGCAGACTCAGGAGGTGGTGCTCAGGGGTCCCCTGAAGGAGCACAACAGGCCCTTCTCCATGGAGGGGATCGCCCTCGCCAAGCTGATCATCGCAGCCAGCTCCAGAGAGGAGCACCCCAAGCCTGCCCACGTCACACTGTCCTCCTGGCTCTCCACGGACGCCCCGACCTTCCCTATGCCTGCGGCTGACCTGCCCCTCTGCCCCAGCCAGCTGTCTCTGCTGAAGATGCCAGCGAAGGCTGAGGACCAGCCCCCCACTGGGGAGGAGGACACCCCGCGGTGGATGGACACCCAGCCACTCAGGGACCCCGTGGGGCCTTCCACAGGGCCCACCAGCAACCTGCCTGTATCTGACAACACGCAGATAGTCAGGTCCTCCCAGTGGGAGGACCTGCCACAAGAACCCTCCACCTCCAGGGTTGGGGCATTGGCTGGGACAATCCCAGAGGAGAAGACACTGGAGGAGCCAGGCCTGGCTCAGCCTTCAGCCAGGTACTTGGGGCTTAGCAGCCAATGTTTAGGTCCAATTCCATTATTCATATTCTCTCTCTCTTTCTGTCCTTTTTGGGGGTCTGCTGGTGATTAACCCCAGGGCCTCAGACATGCTAAGCACACCCCCTAACACTCGCTACTCAAACATAATAAGCACACCCTCTAAAACTCACTACTCAACATGTTAAGCACACCCTTTTACACTCACTGCCGAACTCCTAGTTCAGGTCAGTGCACAAGTGTGACTGACTGGGCAGGCACTGTTCTAGGCAATAGAGCTACAGCCTCCACCAATCATGGTATTAGCAGGGAGGCTTGCTGCCAGTGCCCAGTGGATAAGAGAATGGGCATGCTGCTAAACAGCTTACAATGCATGGTGCCGATCACCTAGTGGAGGTTGGGTCATTTGTGTTAAGATCTGAAAGAGAACTGGACAGCGGTGGCTCATGCCTGTAATCCCAGCTACTCAGGAGGCTGAGATCTGAGGATCTAGTTTCAAAGCTAGCCTAAGCAGGAAAGTCTGAGATTCTTATCTCCAATTAGCCAGTAAAGAACCCAGAAGTGGAGCTGGGGCTCAAGAGGTAGATGAGGGTCTGAGAATGTGGCTCAGTGGTAGAGTGTTTGCCTTACATACATGAGGCCCTGGGTTTGATTCCTCAGCACCACATAAGCAGAAAAAGCCAGAAGTGGCGGCGCTGTGGCTCAAATGGTAGAGCGCAAGCCTTGAGCTGAAGAACTGAGGGACAGAGCCTAGGCCCTGAGTTCAAGCCCCAGGACTGGCACAACAAAGAATGCCAACATTAAGCAAAAGAACTAAGGGACAGTGCCCAGAATCTGAGTTCAAACCCTAGTACTGGTGCATGCACAGAGACACACAGACACACAAGACACAGACAGAGACACTCACAAGGGGATGAAGTGGATGGGTGGTTTTCAGGAACCAGAGATGGAAAAATAAAGGATGAATGCTAGCATATTGGTCCTTTCTCTTCAGGGTGTTGAGAGCTAGATAGGGGTGCGGGTAGTATGAGGCTGGGAGTGTGATTTTGGGGCACCCGTCTCCCTGTGGGCCGACCCCCCACAGCTGCTCGCTTCTCTCCCTGCAGCAAGCATCTCCATCCAACACTTTAAGCAGCAGGTTGCCACTGCCCTCAGTCAGCAAACTGTCCGGAGGGGCCCAGAGGGGCCGGGTACCCCAAGGACCCCGGAGACCGGCCTCAGACCAAGCAATGACCCCGGCACCGGCGGAGAGCTCGTAACCAAGACGGCGCCACCCACTCCCCCTTCCTCCACAGGCCCCAGGGTGCTGGGCACCCTGCTGTAAGAAGCAAGAGTACCGAGAGGCTGGACGGGGTGCTCCCTCTCGGGCAGAGGCCAGAGCTGTCTATACGTTTATACATGGGGGTGGGGGGACGGGGAGAGCCTGAGGCGATTAAACGCCTGAGACTCAGTCCGAGTTGCGCCTCTGTACCTGGGAGGGTGTGTGTGTGTGCATGAGCATGCGTGTGTGGGTCCCGCAGGGGGTCCGGCAGCCCGGGAGGGTGGGGCCTCAACAGGACCCCGCCCTGCAAGTCCACCCCACGGTTCTCATTGGCCGGAGCTCCTGAGCTCCCGGCCAATCCGGCCCGAGGGTCGTAGTGGGAGGCCCTGCCCCCACTCGGATGCCAGGGGCCACCGCCGCCACCACAGGCCCAGCTGACCCGTGACTGGTGGACGACATTCTGGTAAGGGCAGGACAGGTGGGGTTTCTGGTGGGCTCAGGAGCGAGGGGCACCCCTTAGGTTCCACGGAGCCCCCCATTCCGCCCTGCAGGACCCTCATCTGTGGATGTTAGATGTGGCAGCCCAGATGCCCCACACGGAGAAATGGACGCCACCCTTTGACCCGCGCTTCCCTAACCAGAACCAGACCCGTAACTGCTACCAGAACTTCCTGGGTGAGACCCGGGGAGCCGGGTTTGAGGGGAGCAGGGCCGAGGGTCGAGGGGAGGCAGGAAGGGGAAGCCCACCTGAAGAGTCGTGGGACCGTTGGGGTGGGGAGCAGGCGCGGCCGCAGTCTGGGGGCGGGGCCCGGGGGAAAAAATCGGAGCAGCCGGGGAGGGGCGGGGCCAGGAGAAGCCGGGCCTGAACTGGACAGCCTGGATGGAAGGATGCGGGGGCGTGGCCTGCTGGTAGGGGCGTGGCTTAAACCCTGACCCCGCCCCCATGCTCATCCGCAGACTACCACCGCTGCATAAAGAACATGAGCCGTCGGGGGAAGGACTTGCGGCCTTGCGAGTACTACTTGCGTGTGTACCGCTCGCTGTGCCCCAGCAGCTGGGTGAGCCCGCAGAGGGGCACAGGATGGAGAAGGTGGAGGGCTGGGGCTGAGCCTGAGCTTGTGCCCTGCTTCCTGGTTCCTCAGGTGCAGCGCTGGACTGAGCAGATCAAGGAGGGGACCTTCCCAGGCAAAATCTGAGCGGGCAGCATCGACCTCAGTGAGCCCAGTCTTGTCCCAGAGCCCCGGCTGACCTTGGTTTTGCAGTCTCTAATCCGGAAATAAAGTAGTGTTGCTGCTAGTGCTTCTTTTGCTACTCTCTTCTCCTTACTGGACATGCTGTCTTTCCACGAACTTTACTGCCCTGGCTGGCTTTGAACCGTGATCGTCAGATCTCAGCCTCCTTGTAGCTAGGCTTACAGGCGTGAGCCACCGGCACCTGGCACCCTTTTTTTCTTCTTCCAGTCTTGGGGCTTCAACTCAGGGCCTGGGCACTGTCCCTGAACTAATTTTGCTCAAAGCTATCACTTTGCTCAAAGCTATCACTTGAGTCACAGCAACCCTTCAGGCATTTTTTGTGTATGTGGTAGAGCAGTCGAACCCAGTGCTTCATGAATAGGCAAGCACTCTACCACTAGCCACATTCCCAGCCCCGCCCTTCCAATTTTTTTTTTTTGTCGGCCGTGGGGCTTGAACTCTGGGCCTGGGCACTGTCCCTGGGCTCTTCAGCTCAAGGTGAGTGCTCTACTGCTTGAGCCACAGTGCCACTTCCGGTTTTCTGGTGGTGTATTAGAGATAAGTCTCACAGAGTTCCCTGCCTGGGCTGGCTTTGAACTGCAATCCTCAGATCTCAGCTTCCTGAGCAGCTAGGATTACAGGCTTGAGTCACTGGTGCCTGGCTCCACCCTTCTGTTTTTAATACAAGGTTCACTACCCTTTGCTTGGCAGGCCTCTTGACAAGCAATCCAAAGTTTGCCTTCCAGTCAGGACAAAAGAACACCACCATGCTTGACTAACTTTGCTAAGGTGGTCTTTTTTTTTTTGGTCAGTCATGGAGCTTGAACTCAGGGCCTGGTGCCTTCCCTCAGCTCTTGGCTTAGGGCAAGCACTCTACCACTTGAACCACAGCACCACTTCTGGTTTTCTGGTGGTTAATTTGAGATGAGTCTCCAGGACTTTCCTGCTTGGGCTGGCTTTGATCCAGGATCCTCATATCTCAGCCTCCTGAGTAGCTAGGATTATAGAGATGAGCCACCTGTGGCCGGCTTTGCCATGTTCTAATGCCTAGCCAGTAATTCATGGGGGTGGAAGTGGGGCCCTTCCTCTAACCTCTAACCAAACACTGCTGCTTCTGATAATGGAGTCAGTTTCATGAAGGAGGGAAGTCAGGCTAAGGCCAATGCTGCCACCCCCTCATCTAGGACGAGATCTCACCCTCCTGCATCCCCTAAAACATAAACCCAAGTAAGATAGGAGGTACTGCTTATAACAAGGTTTTAATAAAATAAAAAGTTCAAGTGCTTCCAATCTCCAACATACCCCATCCAGGTGTGGGAGGTCCCCCACACCCCAGTAGCACCAGGGATAGCACCATGAGAAAAGAGGTTGCACCTGGCCTCCCTGAGACCACAAGGGGTGGGGATATGCCCCCCACCTCCCCGACCTCTTTCCAGACATTTGCAGAGCTAAGAGCAAATCCACTCCCTGCCGTGGGGCAGCTCTACCTCCTGAGGCCTGGGCTCCCGGGGAGATGCCATGGGTGGTCCCCACCCCTTTATGGCTTGGCTCCCTGGGGAGAAAGGGGTAGTGAGTGTTGGCTCCTGCAATCCTGAGATGGGGGTGGGGCATACGGAATGGCCTGGGCTCCCTGCTGGGTTGGCTCAGGGGTCAGCAGTCACAAAAGACAAGGGACTCCATCCCTGGCGTCCTTAGCCAGCCCCATTCCCAGCTGAGAGCTGTGCCCGAGTCAAGGGTCAGCTCTTTCCTAAAGGTCCCAGGACTCCTTGCAGGCAGGCAAGGTGGCTGCCACTGGTGCCCAGGGCTCCCTGCCCAGGCCATCACAGCTCATCACTGTTGATGTCCAGGTCAATGGAGCCGTGGCTGACCACCAGACGCAGGCGCTTGTGAGGGGCAAAAGGAGCAAAAGCCAGGGCCTGCTTGGGGATAGGGACAGGGATGGTGTCAGGGTCAAGGGTCCCGGTGGCAGAGGGAGGGGCAGCTGGTGGGGCTGAGGCCAGGCGGTGAAGGCTGACCCGCACCACGCAGGGCAGCCCGTAGTGCCGGGCCCAGCGCCAGTCCTCCTGGGAAGCCCAGCACGAGCGAGGGGGCAGGCCCAAGGCCACTATGGCTTCAGCCTGCAGGAGACAGTGGGGGCCACAGCCTCCCCACCGGTGCAGAGAGATGCGGGCGTTGCGAAGGATGGGGGACTCTGGGGCTGTGTGGGGCCGGGGGCGTCGGCGCTTCCGGGGGCGTGTCCGGGACTGGGCCTGGGGCAGCCACTGGAGCCAGAGGGGCAAACTGTCCAGGTGGGAGCGTCCAGGTGGCAGGCAGAGGGGCTGGCAGGCCGCTGGGGTGGTACAGGAGAGGAAAAAGGGGGAGAGAAGAAAGGTCGGCTCAGCAGGACCTGGGCAGATCCTCCTTTGGAAGAGGCCAGCTCTGCACCATGCTCCTCAGAAGAGCAACTGGCCAAGGGCAGGCAGGGGAGGGATGTTGTGCAGCTTTTGCTCACCACAGAAGGGGTCCCGGCGCAGCAGGGATAAGTGAGCACAGGCCTGGGGGCTGAGCTGGCTCTGCTGACCGCCATCCTGGCCTTGCTGCAGCCGCTGCTTAGTCTCCCGGAGCTCGTACTTGTCCGGGGGCTGTGGAGGCAGCCGAGGATCCTGGGGCCGCAGACGGAAGGCTCCTTCGCCCCTCCTGGGGAACAGGGTGCAGGCACACAAGGAACATGGAGAGGCTGGGATGGATACTCAGGGCCAGAGGGGCTCCTGACCCTCAGGGTGGGCCGGCCCATCCAAACCCTGCCTGTCCTGGTTGCACCTACCTCTCGCAGGTATAGCATTCACAGTGCTCATTCTTCTCTCCAAAGAAGCCCTCGCCGTAGAAGCATGTCACCTCATCCCCCGGCTCGATGTCCCGAAGCACCTTGACACAAGCTGCGTTCCCATCTGTGGGCACAAACTGGGGCCAAGCCCACTCAGCACCCTGGCACAGGGCTCAGAACAGTCCGACTTGCCCCCAGGCTCATCTAACAATTTAGGCCACAGCTTTACCATAACACCATTCAGGGATAGTTGCTTTGCCGGGGGCCTGTCCCTCTCATGACCCACTGGCTCACCGGTGTCCTCCACCTTGCAGGACAGGCTAACCTGACCACCAGCAGCAGGGATGGCAGCAACCATGCTCCCACCGCACTTTTCCCTGGCTTGGTAGCCTGTGGCCAAGCTCTCCCCTGTCTCTCCTGCCCTAGAGCCCATCACCTCCAGGACAACAACTCCCTTTCTCTTCCCTCCTTCTCCCTCCCTGAGGTCTGTGTCCTTTCTCCAGCTCAATGTGTGCACCTGTACATGCATATATTATTAGGGCTCGAACTGAGGGCCTGGGTGGTGTCCTTGAGCTTTTTTGCTCAAGCCTAGCACTCTACCACTCTAAGCCACAGCTCTATTTCCGGTTTTCGGGTGGTAAGCTAGAGATAAGTCTCATGAATTTCCCTTCCCAGGCTGGCTCTGTACCTCAATTCTCAGCCTCCTGAGTAACTGGGATGCCAGGCACAAGCCATTGGCCTGGCTTGGGCCCCTTTACTGACCAGAAACACCCTGCCCTGGGTTTCCACATACTCCCACCTCCCAGGCTGTAGGTCTCACCTTGCAGTTGGGTTTGCAATCTGGAGCCGGCCAGGCGTGTGAGAGAGAAGAGAGACCAGTAAGCAAGGGAGAGGGCAGCCCGGTCCGCTCCCTGCCCAGGCATCCCTCCCCACAGGAGCTCACCGTGGTTGATGAAGGCAGCTGGGCCGAGCCACAGCTGGGTGCTCCGCTTTCGGGTGGAGTACATAATGCTGAAGTCATTCTCACCAGCCCTCAGCAGCCCCTCATCTGCCTCCCGCAGCTCTGCCACACAGCCCACCAGCAGTTCCAGCTTCTCATTCTTCTTCCTGTCAAGAGGCCAGGCTATGGGCTCCGGGTGTTCACCACCTCCCAGTCCTGGTGGAGACACAGGCCTTGCACCCAGGAGCCCGGGGGGGGGGGGGGGGGGGGGGGGGAAGGGGGGGGAGGCAGAGGAGGCACTAAGGGGCCAGGCCTGACACTGTGTCCTCTGTCTCTAGTCTATCAGATCCCTGTGTCCTCCTACTCCCCACCCCAGGAGACCCCGCATCCCCTCTCCCGACAGCCCCTCCCATACCAAGCACGGGTGGACACAATCTTGGCTCCATTGGTCTCCATAGAATAGCGGGTACAGGGCAAGATGGCAAAACCGCTTTCTGGCAGGAAGGCGCGAAGGTAGCGGAACACCTGAGGGGTGAAGAATTGGGGGGGGGGGCTCTGAGGAGGTGGGCAGAGAGCCAGCAGTGAAGGGCCCTCTCTGGGGACAGGCCTGTTCTGCTACCAGCTACGTGATCCAGGGCCTCCTATCTCCTCTAGGGGTCTCAATGGCCTCATCCATCAAAGGGAGAGGATGAACCGCTTCCTAGAACACCCCCCCCTCCAGGATTCTGGGAGCAGCCTCGGCTGTGGCAGGGACTGGGCAGCCAGGGGCCAGGGATGGTGGGCACAAGTCAGGGGGAAGGGCTCCCTCACATGGGTCTTGAGGGCGGCCTCCTGCCGTGGGCCCCGGCTCTGGAAGTAGTGGATCTTCCAGCCTCCCAGCGTCAGGGCCTGGTACGCAGCCTCCAGGTCCCGCCGCCTCAGGAAAGCTTCTAGTGCCGCGCGAAGGTGGTGTTGGCGCCGCAGGGGGGGCATGGGGCTGGGGGATAGGGCAAGCTTGGGGACCAGGGCCTTCCCAACCCAGCCCCACCTGGAGCAGCGGGATGGGCTGAGGGGCACGGGGTGACAAAAGGAGGGGTCCCAGGCACGCCCTCGCCCTAGGCCGCCTCACCTGATGTTCATCTTATGGGTACAGAAGCCAAGGTAGGGGTCGAGAACCAGGCTGGTGGCCAGGTCGTCGTTCTCGCACAGTTCCCGGGCTGTTACTCTGTCAGGGCCCATGGTGCCCGGAAGACCATGCTGCCTCCAGCACAGAGCAGGAGCCGTGCCCTGTGCCACTCAGAGGCTGCCAGGGAGGCCAGCAGGCCCTGCACTCTGCTCATCTGTA